CACCCTCACAATAAAAAATTTCTTCCTTACATCTAACCTGAACTTAACCTTTGAGTTTAAACCCATTACCCCTTCTGAAGATTTTCTTTGAAGTTTATATTGTAGCCCGCAAAACACAGCATTTTCAGCATAAAACTGAAATACAAACAATTTCATACTAAGAACCTCTCACAAATAAATCCCCATTTTATTTAGTAGTAGAAAACTACTGTAGAGTTTACTAGACCAGGCTTCAACAAAGACTTTCTTTGAACTGCAGATGGCTTCAAATTTCTACTTTACTTCACAGATTCATTCTTCTGGTTCTGAATCATACTTTCAGAGTTGGCCAGACTTGAAAAACAAACACACTCCTCTCAGATATTTTACTGGATATAAAAGCCACACCTTAAACACTAGAATTCTCCAAAATGGTTTGGGTCAAACCTGTGATTCCCTCACCACTTGGAGGTATTTCCCAAACATTCACATACCACAGGGAGATAAAAGGCTTCCCCAACCCCCCTTCTTTAAACAACAACAGAAAGATCATTATTAGAAATTTATATTGAAGCCGGCATAGAGCAAAAGTATTTGTTCATAACACAAACACATAAACTTCCAACAGCAAGGTAGTGGCTTTCCCCACTTCTCCAAGAAACAAGCATTATAAGTTAGCAGTATTCTGCAGCAGCAGTCCAATCTGCTGTCCAATTCAGTGTAAGAAAGTGCTAATATTCTCATTATTGCTACATGGGAAGAAATCTTGAGCCTTCACAAAACAGACTTCAACTACAGATCAGTTACAGATAGGCAATTTTCATAATGCATTTGAAGGTTACTTGGTGCAGTCAGGGTCAGATTGTAGCCTTTATTTTTGCCTAGTATTCTCCATAGCTGAAAAAGCTCAAAACCTGTCTGCAGCAGAGGTGTTCCAGTCAAAATGGTTTGTGCGAAACACATAAAATCAGGAAAACCCCTCTTTTACCTTCAGCACAGGATCTGTAAACCACCTGCAAAGAATAAAAGCCTAGACCACAAGTCTACTTGCTCATAAGAGAATATCAGTAGAACTAAGATGCTTTCTAAATCCTGCGAAATATGCATGCACCTAAACTTCTGCTTTGTCAGACAACTGGTACCATAGTTCTATTGGCCAGGATACAGGTCCATGCAATAGGTGCTGCTTTGCTGCAGCCTTGTGTCTCTTGAACCCTCTAGTTACTCAAGGTTGCACGTAAGCCAAGGCAGTGGCACTCCCAGCAAGACCAGCTGGGACTGATAAGGAGTTCCATTTTGAGTAAGAGATGTGGTTTAAAACGTCCTCAAGCTGAGAAAGGCTTGTGACTTTCCTTGTTGGAAAGGCATTTTAATGATCTGCTCTCAAGAACTGGACACCCCAACTTCTATGGCTCTGCTCTGAAAGCAGTAATGCTTGTTCCACTTTTAAAACCGATTCTGCACATGGATTTGCCATAACCTCAAAAATTCCCTCTTTCTTTTGACAGGATCAAGGCACTACACACTCCTCCTCTTGGCCAACAATAGATGCCATCAGTCAGCTCACAGCCACCTGCTATTGCAAAATCCATCCCTATGGGAGGAATTTCCTTTTCCTCTGCTGCAAGGCAGCACTGGCTCCAGCGCAGCTATCCCAAAACTGTTGGAAGTCAGTGCCAGTTCTGAGGCACCTTTGCAGGTCTAGCCATTGACCATGTCAAGACAGATCAAGCACTTCCCATTCCTCTTTCAGCATACATCACCCTGGCAGGACGCACTGGCTCTACAGAGCACATATACAAATGTATCCAATGTTTTAGATGCCACACACCTATTGAGCACTAAAGCAAATACCTCCTGTAACACTGAGCTAACCCAAATTATCTTGCTAAGTCTATAAAAACCTTGTAAAGTTTTATGTCTACTTCCAAAGCTACTATGTATCTGGATGTTTTGGTTTCGGTATTAGCACATGGATTTTCCTGCTTTAAAAATAGGAAATTCGCTAGCCTGACAGGTAGCCCATGAGTCCTAAGAGTCTGTCCTGTGTTGCTCAACTTGGACACAACTCACACTAATGTAATTTGAAAGTTTCCTCAGGTAAAGGCTAAGGGCACGGGTGTGCACACAGCCAGGTATTTCAAAACAGTCTCTGTGAGCCATGCTGTGGACTTCTGTTTCTTTCCAAAAATATTTCTCAATAGGCAATGGGTGTGCCACTCAATGAATGACTAATAACTTTTTCCGGTAAACCCTGGATTAGAAGGAATGCTTGCTCTTGGGAGTAAGAAGCATTATGGCATTGCAGGATAGCGCGCCTAACAGGTGAGTGTGCAGAGCACGCTGACCTACTGGCTGAGACAAAGCAAGTAGTAACTTTTTCTGTGGCAAGAATACAAACCTTCCTTTTTCTCATGCATTCTGCAACCCAAATATGATGTTATATAGCCTCAGTATAAAACAGAACTACACAAGTTTTCAGAAGCATGAGGAATTTTAGGAAGTATAATTAGCCAAAGCTGAAATATCTAATCAGCAAGAAATTGAAAAGGTAACTTTGCTTTTTTATGCATAATAGAGGTACACGTATACATATGATCATATCTATGCGTTCTGAGTAGAAGCACTCCAACTGAAAAAAACTGGGAGCAAATCCTTTGTATCATATGCCCCAGAACATTATGCAGAACTAAACACTGTATTGTCTTCTTTTGTTGGGGTGGTTTTGTTTGTGAGTTTGTTTTGGTTTTGTTTGCTTGTTTTCCATATTGTTATTACATTGTAATAATTGGTAAGTACATGACAGAAACACATGTTACCAGGGATAACAACTGAGACAATCAAGTAAATAGAGATCACTTTTTAAAAAAGTCATTGTCTTAAATCTTCCATATTTTTTACTTTTTACAGACTAACAACAGTTCTGAAGACATCTATCGGTACTCTATAAATGAAACTTCAGTGCACATCTAGTGACTGCTTTCAGCATAACATGGCTGAACAACCACACGAATCCCTCAGCTGAATTTTGTGGCCGCCACAATGCAAAAGTCACTGCAGATACGCAGTGTCATCTGGCAAGTTACAGCTTTAAACAGAAAGTCATCACTTGAGCTTATCCTGAAGGGCTGTAGGCTTCCTAAAATGAGCTGCTTGCAGCTTCTTTCTTAACTCTGAGGAAGGTGGCTTTTTACCATCAGCTGAAAACAGCAGTATTTTCAGAAGGAAACAGAATGTTCTTGTGTGAACAGCATAACATAGCGACTGCACAGAATCACCGAAGGAACACAGAGCCAGCCTAAGTACCAAGAAGATACCAACATAACTAACTGCAGAGGTAGTGGGGATGAGAGAAAGATTTCTTCATAAGGGCTCCAAGTGTTTCTTGAAAAACATGCAACTACTTCAACTGCTGTTCATACTGAAAATTGGTTGCAGTTCCCATACTAAGCCCCAAGGATTTCAATTAGAGTACTGGGATATTCAGCACCTTGAAATTTAGGTCACTTACTCTGTTGCCCAAATAGAAATTATAGGTGACTAGTTTTAGAAATCCAAGTTTGGCAGCATTAAATAGTAGCCAGTTACAAAGAAGGAATGAAAGCATTTTATGAAGTGGAAGGTTTTATTAAAACACTATAAAAATCAGTGACTTTCATTTAAAGACAGATAAACACCTAAGAAAACCATGACATCAAAATGCAGGAGTTTTGACAAAGTCAAAGTGCAAATCTGCATGGTTCTGAGCTTGTCAGCAGAAGGGGAAAGAGATTTGCAACGGGAGGAGATCTTAACCAGAGCTCCTCCTGCTCTTGAATTCTGGAGAAATGACAATTTTATCCCACATACATGCACATACAAAATGGCTTAGCACACTTCAATGCTGTTGTCAAATTTACAGGATGAGTTCTATACTCCAGTTAAAGAGCTTGGTAAGCCAGTAGAAACAGCAGAACACAAAGATGAAGCTAGGTATAAAGACCTCATTAAAGGTCCTCTGAAGGGAGGGTGTCAAGACTCTTCTTGGTGGTGCCAGACAATGGGGCAAGAAGCGACAGGCATAAACCAAAACACAGGAAGTTACACCTGAACATGAAGAAGAACTTTCCTGGGACAATGACCGAGCACTGGAATAGGTTTGCCCAGAGAGGCTAGGGAGGCTCCTTCCCTGGAGATACTCAAGAACCATCTGAACGCAATCCTGAGCAATGTGTTCTATCTTACCCTGCCTGAGCAGGTAACACCTGATAGTCCCTTTCAGCCTTGAACATTCTGTTGATTCTATTAAGATGGGACTTCATGTAGGTGGTCAGGCAGCTTTGAGTTATAGATAATTATGTTGCAAGAGTACACAATACTCAAAAAGGTGAAGGTGTGACAGCAGCTGAAGCACTTGCACAAGGTCATACAGTAATGACAGTCAGAGGAGCTGAGAAGAAACCCCTGTGAGCTCTTACGAGGCACAACCTGGCATGGTATTATGAGACATACTGGTGATGATCTAAAAGAACCTACTTTGCTACAGACAACCTATAAGGTTTACTGAGGTCTTGAAATATATTCACCATTTAAAAAATATTTTAATCCCTGCCCAACGAAGAGCAAGATAATGGGTTACATTTGAAAACAGTTATTCCCAGCTGCTTTAAATGATAAAATGATTTGCTACTAACAAGTTAATAAACATACAGCAGTAAAATCAATTTACATACATTGAATGTGAAAATATTAAAAGAAATCCTTAGTATGACATGTTCAAGGTCACTCTCACTTCCTAAAATCACTCCCAGACTGCCAGTAGGCCAAAAGGAAAAACAGAGATACCTCAAAAAGCATTATAACAAAAAGATAACTCCACAATAGGCAAACCAAGGCTGGAAACCCCACTGCAGGAGGTTTTTACCTGTTTCCAAAGCACTATCCTGCTGCTAACCCACATCTCGTACAAATTTTGTTAAACCCAATGCAGATACCTATTTTAACCATGAGCAACCCTGACTACAAGCTGAAGTATGACCCACCTGAACCATGACTTGAGGCTGTCCCTTCCCAGGGAAGGGAACATCAGACAGCATTTTGGGGAAACATGCTTCTAGGGTAGCCAGCCACGCACTGCCATTCCTTTGGCAAGAACAAAGGAAGAAGCCTGCCTTGGCCTTACTTGCTCTGTGATTGCCTACCTGCTGAGCAAGGGGGCAGGCAAAGGGGCCTGCTCATGGATTTTTACTCCAGGCACACTGCACAGCATACAGGGACATTCAGAACAGCAGAGGGACAGGAAGAGCATCTTGAGAACACCACAACTTACATATTTCCAACATTGGCACAAACACTGGGTTTTTCTCCCACTTTCCATATAATTTACAATAAATGTGTAAATAATTTGGGAATAAATGTGGGAATAATTTACAATATTTACAATTTGTAAATAAATGTGGGAATAATTCACAATAAATGTGCCCAGGGATTTCTCTTATAAGCAAAAGCACTTCAACATACCACTACAGTCCCCAGCCACACACAGGCCAAAGCAAACTCCCTAACTCTTACTAGCTCTCCCTAGCTCAAACTCCACCTAGCTCTTACTCACTCTCATTTTAAAGGAGCTAAATTCCACCAAGGTCAGCAACAACCTCCTAACAAAGCATCTTGTTAATCAGGCCAGATTCACATCTCCTGTGCGGAACAAACTGCATCCAGCATTGCCTTGTTTTATCTTAAACTCACAGAGACTAAGTGAATATGATTGGAAAAAGTTATCTTAACAAAAACAGCCATCCATAAAACTTTACTGTTGCTAAGTCACAATATGATTGTACTGCATGAAGAGACCAAATACCACGACATTTTGCTTCATAGTCTAAAGGTACAATTTAATAGTTGACTTACACTGATTTAACAGCAAATTGCCACTGGAGATTCAGTCCTGTTCTCTACTTGCAGCTATATATTCCTGCTTCTTCCCTAATACTGCGGGGGCCTTGCTTGGACTAACGTGGATGAAAACTAGCCCAGTGGTGGAAATTAAAAAACAGCAAACATACAACTGGTTTTCAGCCAGGTCAGTCCCTTGATCCTCTGCACAGGCAAATTAGCATTGCTGCCAACAAGCCACTGCCATGCCTCCTCCTCTCCATGGTGATGGAAGCCCAGGTGGACACAAGCCATCTGCCAAGTGCATTCATTGCCAGCCACAGTGAGGGACCTGAGCTCTGCTGCCTAGGCCATGGAAATGTCAGTGCTGGAGACTAGCACCGAATGGCAACAGAAGGAAGCAGTCACAGCTGCTTTTGACAGGAAAAGCATTTTCTGTCCTCTTGGTGAAATATTAAAAACACAACAAAGGGAGAAGGGAGAGAAATCAAAGAAGCTCAGCTAACTGCCAAAGAGGTAAGAGTCCATAAATTACTGTGGTGTTTTTTTTCAGATCCCTGCTTCTGCAGCACAGAGGTGCCTTCTTAACTATTTCTCTTATCAGTATCCCTTGCTCACAGGAAGATTCTGGTGTGTAGAGCAAGCATGGACATTGGTGATGACCCGGGAAATGACAGGTGATGCAGAGCAGTGAGCAGGGGTGGGAAGCACAGCAGAGAGCAGCCCATCTCAGAGGCACAGCTGATCTCACGGCAGAAGGAGATATAGGAAGAAGACAGCTGAAAGGACAGACGAAAAAAAGTTGAATACTAAATCTAAGGGCTGCTACAGTCCCTTGACCTCAGGCCAGCTTCAAGAAGGTCAGCATATTTTTCACAATGAGATTCAGATAACAAGCTAGAATGATTTCTAATTTAAATATTTTTCCCCCGATCTAGTTTATTTCTAACATTTCTAATCACTCTCAGAACCTTAATGTTTGCAGTGCCAGGATCCATCAAAGCTTTTACACAAAGAAGCACCAGGTCTCTGAGGCCACACAGTCAGATACCTGGTATTAAGGCAGGAGATGCATTATCTCTCAAAACAATATGGGAGTGTTCTGAAAGTAACAGGGTACAGCCTGGTACCATACCATTAAATATTAACATAAGCGATAACTAATCTACTCAAGGTGAGTCAACTCTGACCACAGTTTTAACCATTTACAAAAAATAAGTTTAACAAACCAAGTCTAAGCACATAAATTATTGTAAGATGTCAGATTATAGTTTTGAGAGGGAAGATGTGAAAAATATCAGAATTTAATTTTGCTGTTTAAGAAAAAACAAAGTTTTGTAACCACCCATGAGCTTGCAGTTCTTACAGTTTTATGAAACAATCCTGGCTTTTGCATTCAAACTGGATTACTTTCATGCCTTCAGAAAAACAAAACACTAAACCCATACATGATCTATCTCTGAAATAAACAGTGTCCTGATAAACTTCTCTCTGAGCCTTCTAATTGCATGGTAGCCAACTTCAAATTTGAAGCAGAAGCAGGAGTAAGAGGCTTTTTTATAGACTAGATTAACAATTATCTAGGTCTAGTCAAACTGGTAAACACAGTAAAATTTCACAGCAAAGAAAAAAAAAACACACCAAAAAAAGCAATGCATTATGTTTCCTACAGCTGAGATCCTGTATGTGCTTTTAGCATGGATGAACTAGCACTATCAATAGGCTCTCACTCTCAATTACCTATTTATTTCTGCTGACATTTGGTTCTCAGCAACCTGTAACATTACATTCTCTACACAACAAGGTTAAATGTCTACATTTATCTGCTCATGATATGGAAATTTATTGTAGCTGCCCATTTATTACTACACAGAAAGGCCTATCTTACACCCATTTCAGTCTTACATTTACTGAAATGAAGTTATCCAGGCAGCAGAAAGAGTTGCCATGGAAATAAAACCAATTTAACAGAGGCTGCTGCAAAACTTCCATTAATTAACCTATTTATGATAAAACCACTTCTCTCATTAAATGTAGTTGCTATCATTTCAATGACACAGTGAGAAAAATACAGCTGCTCTCCACTTCTTGTATATTCCATGCTTTAGTGAGAACTGCATCAGCACAGTTTTGCACCGCTTTTTATACTTCATGACAGAGCTCAAACTGAAGTGGTAAAAAGGAATTCATGATTTGTGTCCATCTATAAAACTGAATGTACTTATTCCTGAAAAAACAATGAAGATTTGTCTTGCTTGTTTTGAAACAAAAAGAACTCATTTAGAATATGTTTAAAATTTGTTTTAACTTCTGAAATCTAGACTGTCAAATTCTTCCATAAAAATATATCTTGAAGTTTTCAATAACTATGTCGACAAAAAGAAATGGTCCATGTCAAATCTCAGGAAATAAACTTTAAAGCATAGAGTATAATAAAGGATACATCTGTGAAATAGTTTAAAAATTCCAACTCTGCTCTTGGCAGGATACTAGTACACTATACCTGAAAACACATGGGCTTTCAATGAGAGAGTAACTAGCTTGTTTTTTAGGCTGGGAAAACTTTGTCTGCAAGAAAACCAGGTATAACTAAATGAAGGAATAGCAAGAATATCCTTTTGTTTAGTAATAATTCAGCAACAAAGCCCTGCCTAAACAGCTATCACATAATGACAATGACATGAACTATGCTATAAGGAGGGACAGACCATACCCATAGGCAAGATTTTCAGTGTCAAGGATCATTTGAAGTGGATGCGGTATAATTCCATTCCTGGCCTGGCAAACTTGGTAACAACAAATCAATAATTACCAGCCACAAACACTATGTAATACAAACCCGTTCAGACCATCTGGATGTTTATTTACAGAGCAACCAATTTGATGTTGTACCTAATGCAAATTTCATGATTACAAGGTAATTTGGTGGAGGGTAAGAGAGGAGTATGAAAAATGCACCACCTCTCATGTGAATGCTCTGAAAACAGGCACAGGGTAAGCTTCTCAAAGCTGCAAAGCAAAATAGGAACTGAAGGGGCAAAGAGGTTGGAAGAAGGTGTTAGGGGCTGTCTGTCCTCCCCCCAAAACTCTAGCAAAGAAATTCAAGCTAAAAAAAAATCCAAACAAACAGTAGTAATAGTCTTCTAACAGAAATAGCATGTCGTGTCCTTGCCTCCATGGGCTTCTCTTTGGATAGCATAGGGATGTCAACAAACAGCATACAATTCACAAAACAGCCAATATTTTATACATTTTCAACTGGTTCATAAAAAGAATACAAACTTTCACAGAACTGGTGAGAAACTAGACTTACTATTGCATGAGCTGTCTCATTTCTTAATTTATTTGTTAATCAATGAACAATTCCAACAGTGGAAAGGCAAACTGAGCAGATTTTGCTCTCCACTATAACATAGTGGATAGGTAATAAATCCACTGCAGGTAAGGCTGCTAACATGTAATCGCATGTTGCCCACAAGGACAAGCACTCCAAGAATCTATGGAGCCTCATGCTGGCCACAAAAAACACAGAGACTGTAAGGTCAAGCCACCAGGAATTCGAGACACGCTGGACAAAATAATGCACTGTCTTAATTGTGGATTAAGAAAGATTTTGGTAAGATAACTCAATTCTGCATTTACTCTTCCAGCAAGGCTTCCCACAGAAGTCAGTGGGAACCACAGATACATACAGGTTATGTAACTAGATCCTTAACATATAACTAAAACTTACAAGTTTGATTCATTTTGGGAAAAAAAAAAAAAAATGGAAAAAAAAACTCAAAACCAACACAAAACATCAACCAACCCAACCCAACCCAAAAGTCACAATTGAGAATTCTAGGCATCAGAAAGGTAAAACCCCAACTTGCTGCTTCCTTTAGAACTTCTTGATTCTTGCTATCATCAGAGCTCAGCATGGAAAAAAAAAACCAAAACTCTTCAGTCATGAAAATCTCTCTTTTGAACAGCATTCAAGCAGAGGACAGATAAACAAATAACTGAAGAGGAAGTGTAAACATGGACTCTGACCCCATTCTTAACAAACGTTCCCAGTAAAATCAGCATAGGAGATGGACTAGCCTGCTGGAAGCACGTTTGCAGTTATGAGTGAGATAAATATGAGGCATTAAGCATCCCAGTCTCACACCAGATGGATTAAAATGAATGCAGTACATAATAGCATTCCTTGTCAATCAAAAGCTGTACAGAATCACATCTAAGTACATGAGATGTACATCCTGGAAGATGTGATCCATTGCAGTTCTTAAATTTGATCAAATTCAAAATTGTAAGTCTTCCAAATTTGATCTAAAATGTGAGATAGGAATTACCCAGTTCCACAGAGAAGACAGCCTTCCTGTCTCTTGTCTGTCTGCCTCCCTACACAATCACAAATTGGTGATCTGTAATGATCTGTCATTTTGCACAGGTGATCTGGAAGTAAAACTGAAGTTACCTATACCATCCAGATATTCCAAGTATCAATAGTATAAGATTAATATTATTTCCTGCAAACCACGGTCCATTATTTTCCTCTGCGACACATGAACCATTCCCACATAAGGGATTTTAGAGCAAAGGTGATTTTAAGTCAGACACATCCCTTACAGAAAGATGGGTGGGAGAACCAAAAAGCCAGTGGGCCACAACTG